GGCCGCACAAGTACAAGGATTGCGAGTAGCGTGATGATCAGAAGTTCTGGAGAGTTTTCCTGATGATGGCTTGGCTAATATGACAATGTTTCAAGGGTCTGGACGGGAAATGCTTACAACATGGACGGAACTGATGAGTAACTACCATTTTGATGCACTGCGTTGTCATTAAACGCTGATATATGTACGTCATGATTGTTGAGATGAAATCTAAGTAATTTGAAATGAAGCTTAGAACTTGAATAAGTGCTTAGTGTGTAGTTGCATTTCATAAAGTATCTTGAATTAGGTTTACAAGGAGACGGGTCGTCGCTGACCACTCCAGCTACGATCGACTGATTTGGACACAGGAAAAAGAAAAAGAAATCGACTTATTTATTTCTGCATTATCTAAATGTAACATCATAGGGCAAAGCCGTAATTTTAAAAAGATTCGAGTTGAACTTGAGCAAATAATTCGTGAATCACCAAGGAGAATAAGAAAAGATTCTAATAAGCACAGTCCGAAACCCCACTCGCCTTGGAGTGAGAGAGCAAGCAAGCGTCCTTTTGATTTCGGGATTAAAACAAAAAGTAAGAAAAAGAAGCAAATGCTAAATGGTATCAAAGAATGAAGAGACTTCAAGTGTCTGCAGCTCCCTGGCTGGGAGTCGAACCCAGCTTTCGCGCGTCCTTCGTCGGATAAATATATGACAGGCGCGTGTACTAACCGATATACTACCAGGGAAGTCGTATATTGACGACAGAGGCACGTATTCGTGCTGTTAATGACTAGGTTAAAGTAAACAAAGTCTGGCTTACATAAAAGTTAGATGATTAATTTTTTCTATCTACCATGTTGCAACCAATCCAGGTTTATACCATTAGGTACTTATCAACGACCACAGCAACAAATTATTTGAAACCACTCTTTTATAAAAACCATGCCAGTGATTCCGGCAACAAATTCAGCTTGAATTATTTTCCCTTACCCTATCATTGATTATCCATGGTGCTATATAGTCTATGGAAGCATTCGTTATTTCTGGTAGCATTTTGAATCTTTATTGTTTCACTATTTCTGAGCAACAACGATGGACCAAGGCTCATGACTCCAATATATACATCAAAATTATTTATCTCAGCAGCAGACGACAGTAGGAAGTAGCCTCCAAATATTATTGTCATCAAGGCATCATTAAATAAGTATAGCAACACATTTGCCGCATGCTACCTTTCTAATGATTGTATTAGAAGCGCCTCGTGTAGCAGATTTCATCTTACACTCCGGAGTTATCGCGAGTATCTGCCTCATGTTCAGTAAAACCTCGCTAAGTGAGAAAGACAGCTTGATCATTCTTACTACCAGTTTGTTGTCCTAAAACGACAAAATCATGCTTGTAAATTATCACTCAAAACTATACTTATACCATCGCCTTACTAGGCTTCTCAAGTAGCAGACCATTCAAGTTTTACATTTGTAGAGTATATGTGTATGAGAATTGTTTATTTCGACACGCTCCGTGGATGTACTGACTATCAGAAGCATATACTTACGTTACGGATCAATAGTTCAGGACCCTTTGATCAATTCTCACTTCTCCAATTCGGAGTTTTTTTATTTGAATTGAAGGCACTGCAAAGATGGCAGTGGTTTGTATAATAGTGGCACTACCAGCTATGGAAACCTGTTTCATACTTAAACACCTCAGACCACACTAGCAACTTTCCCCTTTACTCCAGACTTGATTCTGTGTCATGGATGATGCGCAGACACTATCACAGGAGAATTATACTCAGAATGGGGCATGGAACACTATGAGGATCAGAAAGCAGCGAGAAGCTGCTCTAGCTAGCATTGTGGAGTCTTCTGAACGACAGTAAGTAACGATATACATATCTATCCCATTTATAATACTAATAAAACTAGTGAAAATATCAATTCCCTTCAACAGCAATTCAATAGAAGTGAAGGGCAAGTGTCTAGTAATCACAATTCTTTTACAGCACAGTAAGTAACAGTATACATATCTATACCATTTATTATACCAATAAAACCAGAGGAAATGTCAATTTCCTTCAAGAGCGATTCAATGAAAGTGGCGGGCAAGCGCCTAGTAATCACAATACTTTTGGAGTACAGTAAGTGTATAGTAATAACATTTCTAACTTGAGTCCAGAATTCACAAACCTCACTCAAATTAGACACTCGAAAAATGAATTAATACCTTTCACCGAAAGCTTGAAGCGGTCTTCATACGATGAAGTTGCTAAAACTAATTCATTAACAGTAAAACTAACGTGGTGGCGGGTGATAAACACCTTGTTACCTGTTGCGTTTGCTCTAATCAAATTCATTGCAATGCATAAGGGCCAATTAAATCCCCCATCAACATACGATTTTATTTTGGCTGTTTTATGGTATCCTATGTAAGTTCATCTATGTAAAAAAATTTTTATCTATACTGACAATTTAAGATCATATTGGATGGGGATTTGGGAAAACACTCATTCTTCTTCTTGGAACTGGTTTTTTGACACTGAGATCATCAATATTGCTCAAAATTGTCAACTCGGAAGAACCAGCATTGACAAGACACTAAAGATATTAGTTAATCCAATATCCTTTTTCTGGAGAATTTTCATTAGGGATATCATGAAGAACAAACGAAGTTCCAAAGATACTTTGATACCATTTTATAATGTTCACCAGCAAGCCATTGCTTCTGGCATCATCCATTCAATCAACAACATTGATCATTTGATTTTCGATACTAGAATAGGGCTGGAATCACTTTTGCAAAAAGAGATGGAATTCAAAGGGGATAAATTAGTTCTACCAGAGCATCCAAAATTTCAGAGAGTGGGTTTTTAATTTGATATTTTGATTTAAATTCTCAATTATACCCCTCCAGTCACAATCGAGAGCGGTAGACATACCAAATGGATATCCACAAACTGAAGTAAAGATAACATTTTTATGTTCACCTTGGTCGCTCTGATTTTTACAATAGGCAAACGATTCTGATCTTGACGTGGGAGTAGACCGTGATACAGTAGACTTGTGGCATCAACGACCGTATTGGGTACGAGAGGATGAAATATGGGCTTTCACTGAGATTTTAAATGCCCTCGCAAATTCTATGGAGTCAAACACTTTAGTGATGCCAAAACGCTACAGCGAACTCGGGAATCATCTTCTAAAGTTTGATCCACATACCGAAAGTGCAGAACTTATTAAATTAAAACCAGTATGTGCTTTTGTTACCACATGCTACAATCTGATTTAGATTGCATCTTATAGGATCTCTTTGGAGATCAGACCATATTTTCCAATCTTTTGTTTTACCAAAAGAAGTTCTCAGCAGCACCAAAAGTTTTCCACTTTTTCCATCATGATAGTTCACGTCAGCATTGGCTTCTGTACCGAGTTCATCGTGAACCAAATGCGGTTATTGAAGTTATTGATCCACTTCATAGTCTACTTCATCAACAATATGTACATCATGAGTTTGAGTCCCAGATAGTAGCCATTGCTACCCACTTTGGTCAGGTGCGCAATTTTTAGCATATCTTCTTGCCAGTGGTCAATGTTCCTTTGCAGTCATTCGAACCATTGGCTCATAAGTATGAAAAAAAGTACCAAGGCCTTGGAGTTCAAAAAGATGGTCACTCTTGTGGTTTTTGGGTATTTGCTTTGTGCCTCCTATCAGTCTGCGGCATAGACATTTTGAGAGAAGATGTGATAAAAAGGCTTTGCAAACTTCGGATTCCCAAGGTCAAAACTCATTTAGGTGCAATTTGGCGATCATGGCGTCAAGGCGAACATGGCTTAGAGATTACTCCCATTTCCGCATTTCTACAAGACTTGGGACTCCAGGTAACAATACCAGAACCAATAGGAGGTTTTGTGCGTTCCATTTATTTACTTTGAGTTTTCTTTACTTACATTACTACATAGGCTGCAATTCGGCCACCATGGTTAAGGGGCGAGGCTACTGGAGATACAAAAGAACTTTCTGATTAGTTTTTCAGTTTGATAACCACAGTGTCTGACTGACCAGCCAATGTGATTTGAAATAAACATAGTTTAGTTAACCTTTCAAAAGGAGTGCCTTGCTTAAATGTCATACTGAATTAAAATATGTCTCGATTTGTATCAGTGTTCTATGTTTTGTTCAACTAGCTGCACCTTCAGCTATGCCTACTATCATTACCAGACGCTGACACATTATTGCATTATTAATGTGTCATCCGATTCACCACTGGTCCACTACCCTTATGCATCTACTACCTATATATGTACTTATTACAACAATTGATGATTAATACCTTAAGCATTTTTGTAAAGGCTCACACCAAGAGATGCCGGTGTGGTGGAATCAGGATGGAAAGATTCAATTGCGAACAGACTTGTATGGTGTTGCTAAGGAGTTTGATCTTGTGGACAATGAAGGTTTGATTAAAAATTGGTTGGAAGCTATGAACAGCCCACCTTCTTAAAGGGGCTGCTATCTTTATTTACTTTCCTGTCAATCTTCACTTGAGTGACTTGTAATGAATATTTTTCATCCTTTATATACTGAAAACTTACCGTTATGGGAATTTGGATTGTAAAATGAGACAGGGGCGTATACTAACCAATAGACTACCAGGGAGTCATACCCTGCGCAACATTGAGTATTCAATTGTCATGCTCATTTAGCTAGGTGACAATGCACTACAAAAACTTTCAAATTCAAACTGAGATGTTTTTCTTATAAATTACGGAAAATATATCATGGATCATCTTTGAAGCCTCGGTCATTGAACAGGGAAAGGTCGTTTGTTTTGCTAGTGAGCTATACATATTTATACTTGAATACTACAAGAAGAAGACAAAACCCCACCCACCTCTGAGTGAGAAATAGAGTGAGAAAGAGCAAGCAAGCACCCTTTGGTTTGACGGGGATTAAAACAAAAAATGAGAGAAAAAGAAGCTGATGTTAGATAATACCGAAAGTGGAATCCCAACAGTTTAGCTCCCTGGCTGGGAGTCGAACCCAGCTTTCGCGCGTCATCCAAGGTGTTTCTAGCCATATGACAGGGGCGTGTACTAACCAATATACTACCAGGGATGTCATACCTTGTTTGAAGACCGAGGGACTAGTACTGTTTGGACTGACAGTCTAAGTAAACGGTAAGTTTGAAGTTTGGCTAAGATATGTAAGTATAGAAGTATGATACACAGGAATCATACGCGATTTGAGGGGACGTATTCTACAGTGTATGTACATGTTATGCCTGAATGGGACTCCTTGTATTCAGACGAGATTTTTTGACATAGCATTAAGAATTTAAAATTGGATGGTTGGTTCTACAGTAAGCAAATGTAAGTGTATGAGGATATCTAGGGATTTTCAGGATAGTGAATGCGGTGATAGATAGTCTTGTAGATAGGATAGATAGCAGTGTGAGCGACAGAACATTGATCGGTACAGCAAAGGAACGACAGAGTCCCAAGAAAAAAAGTCCAAGAAAAGCCCAAGAAAAAAAAACCACCTAACAATGCCTCCACATCTTAACATGATCAACAACCATCGCCCTCCTCTCCAACTCCTCCCCTTGCGGCCAACTCTCATACCACTGCCCCTGCGTATTCGCAAAATCCCTCATAGCCCCCTGCGCACCATTCAACCAAGGCTTATCACCCTGTCCATCCGGGAACCACCCATTCGTACCTCCCACAGCAACATTCATAATCAAATAAAAGTCTTGATCAAACGGAGCATTCCACTTCGGCTCCTCCCCATTCGGAAGCTTACCCTTCCCATCTCCCCTCCCAGTCCCACCAGCAACGATACTCCCATCCCCGGTAACACCCAAGCCGTCAACCTGTCCCCAAGGATCCTCGATAACCTCGAGTGCACCAGAGTTTGGATCCCGAAACACAGCATCCCCCCATAAATTCGGTTTCTTTCCCTTATTCCAAAACGGCTTATCATCAAACCTATACTCGAGAAGCGTATGCAACCTCGTATCAACATAAATCCTCATCCAATCCTCTGTCCACTCCAACACATACTCGTGGAAATCCGCAGCGAACGATCTCCCACTAGGATCACCCCGAGTCCGGGACCACCAAGAGAAACTCTTGCCTACAGCGTCTAAAAACGCGTTAGGTCCCCAATGGAGAGAACCTTGGACGTAATTGGATCCACGAGCGGTGTAGTGGATATCGTTGCCTCTAGCTTCGACCATGTCGATTTCGCCGGAACGAGGCCAGATGCCGTATGTGTTGTTGGTGGGTAAGAGCCAGATTGCGGGCCAGAGCCAGTCTCCGGTTGGGAGACGAGCGCGGACGGAGAGGCGGCCGGAGGAGAGGGAGCCGTGTGGGCGGGAGGTGTTGCTAGAAGAGATGAGGAGATGGATTAGCTTGGTTTGATACGTGATGGAGGAAGATGAGCTAGAAGATGAGAAGAAAGCAACGCACCCATTCAACTCGGCCAAAGCGTTTATCCGAGTACTCACTCGAGCGCTTTGGACGGGGTTTACGATGGATCCTGTTGTTTGGTTTGAGGTCGCGGAGCAAGCGCGGTAGTAGGATCCATAGTCGAATACCTTTCTTTGGCCAGAGGGGTCTTTGGGGTCGATGATGAAGCCGTCGTCAGTGGCAGTATCGTTGAATGTGCAACCGGTAATGTTGTAGATGTATGGACCGTCTACACATGAAGATATGAGTTAAAGAAGAAAAAGAAGTCGAAGAGAGCACTCACTCTGCCCGAAAACATTATCCCTCCCAATCTCCTCCTCCGTCAGCGTCGGTAAGAGATACAAAAATCCATCTCTAACATAGCTATTCTTCTCATTCGCCGTAGTCATCTCAAACTGTCCGTTTCCGGCACCACTCATATCAACTTCTCTCCAAAACGTTCCACCTCCACCTGCATTGCCGTTACCGTTTCCTCCTGGACCCCAAACTTGTTCTGGGTCATCAAAGTTCTCATCTAAGACGAGACAGAGAGGAGCATTGTCCATGCGATGGAACTTGACGTTTCGGTATGTGAGATAACATTGCATCCCACCAAGTCCGAGACCGAGAAGGATCATGCCGTATACGAGGAGACGAGAAATCCGGTGTCGAGAAAAGAGATGTGTTCGTGATCGGTCAGAAAGCCAAGGTTTGGCGACGCGTGGTTGGCGAGAGGGTGTTTTGGATGAGATTGGGAGGGAGATTGTTTTTGTTGGGTCGGGTTTTGTGTTTGGCGTAGAAGGAGAAGCGGAAGGAATGTCGAGCAACTCTGGAAGAAGTGTACTTTTCGTCACAGGTGCAGGTGGTGCGCGTTTTGTGAGTGTGCTCTCGCGGGCTCCTCCTAGAGCGATAGCAGAAGATGCTGGTCGGACCTGAGCATTCGCGCCTGTACCTGCGATTGGAGGAAAAACGAGAGGAAGTGGGACGGAAGAACCCATAGGTGAACCAGGTGTAGAGTAGGGCGTACTCCATCCACTATAACTCCCGTTCAGAGAAATAGCAGAAGGAATCCGAGAATTGGTGACTGCAAATGCAGTTGCGTTGGCTAGTGTCGCTGCAACGTCTACTACATGCTGACTTTGTGTTGTTTGGTGCTGACTAGAAGTCCTCGTACGCGTCGTTTGCTCGAAATGAACATGCTGGTGTTCCTCGACAATCTCTTCGGACGACTCGACGTGGACGTGTTTGATGCTCGGCGCTGGTGAGGCGAATGGGTCGGACATTGGACGAGTATCTGTTCCCCGTGTTCTAGAGTATTTGTATCCTCTTCTGTCACCCGGACTGTGACACGGCCAGGGCCCGAACAGGGGCCGTGAGGTACCGGAGGCATGGAAGGGTCGGCGACGGCGGATGCAAGAAGGACATCTGTCTGTCAATCATCCTCGAAGCACGGCGGTGTGAATCAGAACAGGAACATTTGTGATCGAGATTCCGTTAGATCGGCACTTCAGGAGTATCAGATAAGGAACGCACATGGACAGCTGGAATGATTCCCATTCAACTCCCTGGTAGTATATCGGTTAGTACACGCGCCTGTCATGAAGATGAGAAGTTGCGGCGCGCGAAAGCTGGGTTCGACTCCCAGCCAGGGAGAATATTATCTCCCTGGTAGTCTTTTTACGGTTTTGTGTGCGTGATTTTGTGTATGGGATTATAATTTGTTTCCAACAACCAACTTCTGTACGTTCCAAAATAGATTTAGCTTTTTCCTCCCAACAATTGACAACTCATTTGAGCAAGACCTCCCGTTTTAGGTTATGTGACTAAAAGAATACTGGAGCAGAAAAATGAAATTGCACTAGGGTACTCCCTAGTAAGGTACACGCAAGATGCATTTGAGGAAAACTCTGGCCAGTGCGAATCTCAAGATTCTGGTCTGGGGCATTTACAGCTATTTGCGGAACTTAGGACGCGCCAGAATCATAAGAATCTATTCTTCCGCCAACTCCCACTACTTCATTTCTTTGTCTTTTGACTCGATTCCTTTTGCAATGCATTCCCCTCATTCACATCTACATGCTGATACCAAAATTAAAGGTTTTGACCATAGACCGTTTTTACTTGTGCATCTCTCGTGATAAAACTGGTACAAGCATGTAGGGTTATGTGTACGGATCTCGAAAAAGCAGGAATCGGTCCAAAATGTATGAAATTGCAGGAGTTATGACTGGCGGAAGATTGGGGACGGAAGATTGGATTCGTGTGAAAAAAATTCTGCCGCGCCCTAAATTCTGCAAATAGCTGTAAGATGTCTTTACAGCTGTTTTCGGAACATAGGGTGCATAGTATTAGGGCACGACCCGGGTTTTGCGCGCGCGTCTCAAATTTCCGACACCAATCTTCCGCAGGCTCATACTCTTTCATTTCCCCACGTATTCCTTAGTTTTTTTGTTTCTGTAGTATATGGAGGCATACCTAGGTGCACATGTAATTTTTATGGCAAACATTGCTTTTCGGAACCTGCTGGGAGACTGCTTATGTAACACTGAAAAGTCATATTGCCAACCTTTGTGATATACACAAATCTACGAACAACTTGACATGCTCATGGTAGAGCCAACGGGAATGATTACTTGAATAGTGAGAGAAAAGGTTCCAGAGTCAAAGATATATTTGGTGTATGGTACTATGTACCTGGCAGTTAAATACCATTAGATTTGCTAAAAATAGTGCTTCTGCATTGCATGTGCGAGTAGCTGAAATAAAGCTAGACTGTTGTTGTCGCAACATCTTTCTTCACTATAATTGGCTGGCCTCGAAGGGGTGTCAGGACGATTTTATGATTGGATTGCAAAGTAGGATTTATCCCATGCTCCAGGCGTTCGGCTCGATCACATGGTTCAGCACTACTGGATTGAAAACCCATCTCAGAGTCACTGATAATACCAACTGCAGCATCGTTCCGGAGAGCTTCTCGTGAGTTGAGCATTGCAACTGGTATTAGATTAATTGTGAGTAGTGAGTATATGGATGAATATAAATTCATTCTTCAAATTCAAATTAAAACACTTACGCATGGTGATCACATAGACTTGAGTCGTGCTGAGAAAGAATGGCATCCTAAGTGTGAACATTTAGTATAGAGATAAATCTTTACTTGACATACTGAAAACTAACCACCGCATATTCTGGGGATTTATCACAAATAAAATTAAAAGCACAATCTCATCAACGGAAACAAATATTGCTCTGGTTACAGTATATTGAACAAGTTTCTGAAGAAGTGTGTTTGTCCTAAATATATACAAAATAAAAATGGTCAGTGTACACTCCTCTCCTGAGTAGAATCAACCTGCCTTTTAACAGAGGTCTTAGAAGCAGAAAGTGACCAGCAAAGTACAACAGTTGCCACTAGATCAGCAATAGCAGAGAGTGCACAGCTGAGGCTCACTTCCAACTGGGAATAAAATTTCAGCGATATCCAGGGTAAATGTGTGACTTAAGAATTCGCTACCTTCTGCCTGGAGCTCTGTAAGCTACTTAATGTGTTATCTTGGGATAGTGTAACCACTGTGGAAATAGCTGTACCTAGCATGTGTGTCACAGTAAGCGCCCCAAACAGCTCTATGGTGTACAAGTTAATCACACAACTTACCAACACCACCC